GGCATGGCTCACCTGAACGGGGTGCTGAAGGCTGTGGAGACGCTCAACGCTCTACGGGAGTCGGATGCTCCGTCGGATCCCGGCGCGAGGTATGAGCGGTATAAACACATCATCTTCGGCGACGTGAGAGAGATCGTTCCTTAAACATGAGTTTTCGCTCTTGAACAGTAGGAAGGAGAAGGTCTCCTGTTGCGCGATCATCGTCGAGGGCGTATGCTTGCCAACTGTCAGGCAGAACCCCAAGTTCCCACAGATTCTAAGTGCCACCATCGAAACGCTGCTGGCACTCTGCAACGATGAGGAATCCGACGTCAGGATGGTCGCGGACGAGTCTCTTAACAAGATTATAAGGGTACGACACTTTGCGCCTTCCCATTTTGTACCTGTTATTAAACCGGAGATTGTAGATGTTCATGGACGAAGCACAAAAGCGAGCATATGCGGAGAAATTAAACACTTAAGAGCGATCTATTGGGCAGATAGATATATCATTGATACGTTCTTTGCCAGGCGATGGTCGACAGTAACGTCGTTAAGATCCAGATAGAGCTTTACAATGAGATAAAAAGAAACGGACCTGCGCGCATACTGAGGGCTGCGCTTTGGAGATTTGGCCTGCTGAGTCACATGATACGCTCTTTGAGGGGTAAAGCTTACGTGGCAAATCTGATCCCGTGTATAGTGATCATCGCGCATCGGTCGGAGGATACTGTGATTGAAACATTATCGCAGTCGTTACCATTAATTTTCAGAGTATTAGGACCATTTATGACAGACAAGGATGTCAAGGTAAGAGTCTCGACGTTGTATGATTATACCGGAGCTACTTCCATGAGCTTGGGAAACATTAAATCTTGTTTCAGAATTTACTGAGGGCGTTCTTTGAAAATATCTCTTCTCCTCAAGCAGCTTTTTGTAGGGCGGCAGCTAATATGATTCTGACAACGTGCATAAATTGCAGGAAGCCACAGTTCTTTTTAAATTATGTGATGGATTATACGTTAGGTACGCGCTAAATAATTACGCGCTGCATGACGCAGAAACGTTTATTTAATAATAATATTTATCTTATCTAGATATAATAACGTCAGGAAGAAACGCCGATGATCATTCCTCTACTGTTATAGGCGTCTTTGGATGCCTGAGAGTGATTTTACCTTACATATGTAAACCCTCGGAGCCCCAAAATAGCGAGACACAACAGATAGATAACTTGTTACACATTTATGAATTGTGTTTGTACTATACAAAATGGCATTCTGATCATAATGTCATAAATGCAGCTTTAGAGACTTTGGCGCAACTCCTGAAAATGCCGTCAAAGCCGTTGGTGTCTGTTTTATTGTCTTCAAAGGATATAACGCAAAGCAGAATAATGTCGAATCAAAATGCATGCCTTCCATCGCTGGGTCACATGAGCATTTCCAGCGCAAGTACTGCCCATGGCGGAAATTCGGATTCCATTTTAAACTTGCACGAGCCTGATATTCCGGAAATTACTCCAAATGCAGAGTGGATCGCAGATACGGAAACGACATTAAAACGTGTAATCCTCAAAAGCAGATCGAGTGTACGAGCGACATGACGGAGACGAAAGAAAAGATGTTAGAGAGTTATTGTCATCTGCAAATCGAAATCACTGACAACGAGATTGCGGAAGAAGGTAGCGATGCCGAAAGTGAGATCGAAAAGTCCGAAAAAGCGCCGTATCCAATCCTGCAAAGTGAACACTCGAAGGAGGAAGATTACTCCGAATAGACTAAGAGACTGTGAACGGATTACTGAAGTGCTATTTCGATATATGCCCGGAAACCAATTATACCTATGAAACCGATGGTTATTGTTTTGCTAGTACGAGCCTGAAAAACCACGTCATTACGTATGCACGGAGTATCGTCGAGCGGCGATGACGCAACGTGAGTTACCTAGAAAATGGCCTTGACGATAACATTACCAAATGGGCAGTCCATAAACGTCAACAGTAGACCGGCTTCATATATTCATATTCCTCATCAACGCAATGCGAGGCTCTGCAAGATTCACGAAACCTAATTTTATACCCGTACTGTCGTCATCTATAAAATACTGTCGTTTCTATTACCCGTAATGTCATTATCTAAAGTAATTTCTGCGTGGCCAGGTTACTTTATATGGTTTTTTAAATGATTATTTGATTTATTGAAACCGTATTGCATAATCTATTAGTTACATTCGCTAAATGTATGTAGTAGTAGTAGGAAAGTGAGTGATTCCACTGGGGCCCCCGACGGCACCTAGATCTTACTGATCCTTTGTGCCTCCCCACTCTTTTAAACGAATGTAAGATTTACATGGATATTAAATACATGTATTAAACATATTTATAAAAGTACAATTTAATTAAACGTCACTCTCCTCCAACTTTATCCCCTCTATCCATCTCTATCTCCATTTCGACCATTTCGGGCCGCGTCGCTCGCGTGACTCGCGTCTTATCTCTAGCATCACTGCGATTGAACGTACATACATACATACACGTTATCTTCTCTCGCTGTATTCGCAAGAAATTTGCTAAGGTCGAAAACATTCAGAACCGAGAATACAGACGGGCGTATAATAAAAATACTTAATAATCTAAATAAATAAGTACATGTGATTTATATTATGAAACATATTTTTCTAAGACACAAATATATTTATTTTTAATTAAACGAGTAAGCATAAGACATACAAATTATACATCTAAAATAGTTAATTGTTTTTTTGCAGCAGCATTTTGCTATTCGACTATTAAAAAACTCTGATGTTGATCTGAAACAAAAATATGCAAGTAAATTTTTATTTACTGAAATACGTATGTAATAAATACAAGTATTTTTCTCGATTATTTTATTATATTACCTGTTGGTGATCATCATTCTATTGACAATCGTTCTGCAGCTCGTCCTGTAATTGATCGTGCTACAACTTCTCGTCTTGCAGTTGATCGTCCTATCCTACAACTTCTCGTCCTGCAGTTGATCATCCTACAACTTCTCGTTCTACAGTTGATCGTCCTATAACTTCTCGTCTTGCAATTGATTATTTTACAGCTTCTCGTCCTGCTGCCGATCATCCTATAAATACTAAATAAATTATAAACATGTATAATATAAATATAAATAATTTTAATTACACACACACACACACACACTACCTTTACGCCAACGTTACTTCTGTAGTAACTTACAATAATTCCTTCGCGCACAGGGGATTCTGTAGCAACTTACGATAATTTACTCGTTTACGCGGGATGAATTATCATAAGTTGCTACAGAATCTCCATTTACGTGGAGGAATTATCGTATAAGTTACTACGGAAGTAAAACGCTCGCGTAAACATAGTATACGTGACAGATAGTATGTATAAGACACATATAAATAATGTTAATTACACACACACACACACACACTACGTTTACGCGAACGTTACTTCTGTAGTAACTTACGATAATTCCTTCGCGTAAAGGGGATTTTGTAGTAACTTACGATAATTTACTCCGCGTAAACGAGTGAATTATCGTAAGTTACTACAGAAGTAACACTCGCGTAAACGTAGTAACATACACACACACACACACACACACAAACACACACACACACACACACTATCTGTCACGTATACTATGTTTACGCGAGCGTTTTACTTCCGTAGTAACTTATACGATAATTCCTCCACGTAAATGGAGATTCTGTAGCAACTTATGATAATTCATTCCGCGTAAACGAGTAAATTATCGTAAGTTACTACAGAAGTAACGCTCGCGTAAACATACAGTTTGACAACTTTTACAAGGCAGCATATACGTACGTGTTTGTACGATTTTGTAGATACACCTTCCTTCTTAAAAATCTCTCGGCATCAGCTCTTTACGGTCAATACTTATATATATTTCACTATCTGTCACGACGCGGCAACGGTCACGACTATCACACACTTACACTTATCCTTTTCTAGGTTGTAAAAAACTGTCACTCACTGCGACAGTGCACGAGTGCACTCTCGTGTCAAAAATGGGAAAGTGACACACCAGCCGCCATTTTTGTCCGACGTGGACGTTTCTTAAAAAAAAATTTTCCACATTTGGACTTTACATTGCAATATCTTCGCTCGTAGGGCACGTAACAAAAAAAAAGACTCTTATTTATAAATCAAACCCCAAGCTATCGATCGAACCTACTTAGAAGTTGATCCGTTCACTCGTTATTGAGATCTCAAAATCTCGGATACTCGCAACTCATGCGTTCGCGTAAAAGAGTCACGGTGCGTCTCGCTTCGCGCGTACTTGGCGCGAGACACTACCGTGTCTCTTGATAATTATCAATAATTAAGAAATTTGCAAAATCAATAAAAATCTATAAAATTGCTATAATTCGAGCAAATGTGGGTTTATTGGATTTCTTTGATGATAAATAAACTTATTTTAATGATAAAAATAAAGATTACGCAAATTACAAAAGTTTATGAAATTTTATCAACTTCTGCAATTTTGATAAAAATAACGTTTTGACGCTATGGATGTCTTAAGATAATCTCATTAAACAATGCTGCGTCATTACAAACTAAAAAATGCAATTATTTAAACAAATGACCTTGAACTGTCAAAATTGGAAATAATTCAAAAATTGAGAAAAGCACCTCAGAATATTGTTAATTGAAATCATTCTAACTCATATCCATGGTCGAAAGTCCATCATTGGGCTTATTCTCAATTTTTACAACTTTTTGCAAAAATGTAAACTAATGGAAAATATTGAAATATTACTGAATGGCTCGCTTTTGGGAGCTATCGTTACAAACATTTTGAGACTAATTAGAAGTCAATCGGATCATTAATAAAGAAGTTGCCCCGAAGGGGTTAAAATTTAAACTATTGCAAAATTTGATAAATTTTTGACATGGGCAGTCTTTGTAGACTATTAGAAAACGTTTAAGCCCGGTCGCGTTTAATTTGCGTCACAAACGACAAAATTTACCTGAACAGGTGAATTCTCGTTCTAATGAGTTGGTTTTGACACCATAAATCACTTATTTACTTCGCAACAAATCGTTTGAGACTTAAAACATTGAAATCGGATGATAATTGCAGAGTTAGGCCCGAAAGTGCCCAAAAATAAAAAATAGTGTATTTTTATGCGAAAACTATATAGGCTCGTTCTTTAAGCTATTCTGAGTCTATGTATGCCGCTTTTAAATAATTTTCACTTGAATTATAAGAATTCAGCAATATCAGCCGATCTCATTTTTGTTGACAAGGTCATGTTAACAAAAACAAATAAATCATAATATCTGCATTTTGGCATATCAAAATCTTACGATACTATCGCCGCCTAATATTTTTTAAAATAAATCTAACTCGTTTGGAAGAGTTACAATAAGCGAGATAAAATATGAAATTATCAAAATAACGAATATCTCGAAAATATGACATCTGTCTGTAACGATGCGCCTTTTCCAAGGCATCGGGCCCAATCGCCACCCGCCGGATGCCGCCCAACCGATTTTTTAAACGCAAAACGCGGCACCGGTGCCTTCCCCGCACGGTGCCGACAAGCGCCGGAGGGAGCCGATCCCCGCCGAAGACGAGCGCGCGGGACCGCACCGATCCCACTACCGCGCGACTTGCCTGACGATAGGCCTCCCTTCCACCGAACCCGCCGCGCCGAGCGATATATAAGCCGGCGTTCCGGCGAGAGACGTCGACTTCGTCTCCACTCCAGCATTCCGCTGCTCCCGACGAAGCCGACCCACCGAATCCTAGGGCGACACACCATCGAAGTCCAGAGCTCTGTGCCTCGACTGAGTGCTCTCAGGTGTCCCCGACTTCCTGCCAAAACGAACTCCCGACGGCACGGTTACGCGGGGTCGAGCGCGCTCGGTCTCGCAACAAGAGCTCTCGTTACCGTAGCCACGGGACTCCGCAATCTCCTGTGTTGCAGATCGCATTCCTGCACGGGTTTAGAATACTTCTTCCGTTATACCGCCCGAGTGCGCATGCACTACCTGTCATTGTAATATACCGCGTTCCGTTCGTCCGTCCTACCGCCTGAGTGCACTGGCACT